AAGGAGCCGTAACGGCTGGAATGGTCGTCTCTGGACGCAGTATCGATCTTGAAGGTGCAGATCGCATCATAGGGCCAATGTTCAACACCATCCCCTATCAGCATTGCGCTCAGCGTGGCGAATCTTGGTCATCGGCAATCAAACGAGTGCACGATTTCAACGTTGGAGCTCATCCTCATCAGCACACTCCACTGAGAAAAATCATGAAGTGGTGCAAAAGAACTCCGAGCCAGCCTCTCTTCGACAATCTCTTCGCGTACCAAATCGCACAGGGAGGTGACGGATGGGCAAAAAACGATGCTTGGGAGATCCTAGACAATGATACTGTTGCTGACTACCCACTGGCTCTCGAGGTTGAGCAACGGAGGGGTGATGTGTTCAAGTTGACATTGGTTAGTCAAGATCATGTCGCACATGAGTGTTTGGCGAATGAGCTTCTTGATCGGTTCGAAGAAGCATTGCGACAGGTCTTAGTAGATCCGTCTACTATTCCTGCGGTGACCTTTGAAGATGGAGCGATGCAAAACAGTATACTATCCGCAAATGGAAAGATCAGCAACGGCGACAAGACGAGCGATTTTGAATGGACGAGCGATGCCATCAAGATCAAAGAGGAGACTGCTCAACTATCGGGTCTTGAATATTCCAGCATCAACGAAAACACCTCCATCTTTGAACTTGGACTCGACAGTATTGACGCCATCAAGTTATCATCCAAGCTCAAGAAGCGCGGAGTGACCATTCCCGTAAGCGGCATCATGCGCGGGCTGACCATTGCGAAAATGGTACAACTCATCTCGCCCACGGAAACGTCAGCTGAAGCGACTCTTCAGCCAAACCTTGACGCCTACAAAAGATCAATGAAGAGGCATCTCGAACAGCATGCGTTTAACAACACCGATGTTGAGGAAGTTTTACCCTTGACACCCTTGCAAGAAGCTATGGTGGCTGAGATGATTGCGTCAGACTACACAAGATACTACAACCATGATGTACTCGAACTGGATCCCAATACAGACGTCAAAAAACTCCAAGAGGCCTGGACAACAGTCGTCGCTGCGTCACCAATCCTACGGACTGGCTTCGTAGAGGTAGATGACCCGGAACTCGATGATTCTTTCGTACAGGTCGTCCACAAACAACATCATGACTTCTGGACGCATATCGAAGTAGAGGGCAGGCCCGACTTTGCCTCAATCTTCCGTAAACTTCGACATGATTCCCTACAGAAGTCGCTTTCGACACCCCGCTTCCACCTTAGCTTCGTGGAGACATCTGGCCAGTGCTACCTTATTCTCTCCATTGCTCATGCTCTATACGATGGATGGTCTCTTGGATTACTGCATTCTGACGTGCAACGAGCTTACGAAGATGAGTTCACCCCTCGCCCAAGCTACGAGGCTTCTCTGATCAACATCGTCACAACGTCCGTGTCTGCTTCCACGGGCTTTTGGCAAGATTATCTCTCGGGGGCCATTACAAGCTCTTTCCCCCGACGAACAGACATCTCTAGCGAAACTGGCAGCCATGTTCATCGCCACGAACGAAACAGCGCAGTGGTACTAGATGAGCTCCAGACGTTCGCGAGAAGGCGTAATGTGTCATTACAGACTATCGGCCAAACCGTCTTTGCTCTCGTTACTTCTCTCTACACCAACAGTCTGGATGTCACCTTCGGCTCTGTACTATCCGGAAGAGACGACGAGGAGCGATCTCAACTAATGTTTCCCACTATGAACACGATCGCGATACGGTCAGTCCTGCACGGATCTGGAGGAGACATGTTGCATTACATGCAAGACAACTTCACAAACATCAAGCAGTGGCAACACTACCCACTTCGGAAAGCCCTATCGGCAGCAGGTGTTGATGGAAGACTGTTCGAAAGTCTATTCATCTACCAGAAGGGCTTCGCGTCAGAGGAAGAGGAGGGACAGAGGCTGTACACCAGCATCGAGGGTCATAGTGACGTTGAGTATCCGGTGTGTGTAGAAATGGAGGCAATGGACAAGAGCTTGGTTTGGCGTTGTGCGGTGAAAGAGGAAGTATTCGACGAAGAGGCTTCAAAACAGCTCCTCGATCGAATGGATGACGTGCTTAGACACTTGATGGAACATCCAGAGACATCTGTAATTGAGGTCACTACGAACGGCACATCAGTATGCGGTATGCCGGCTTTCAAGCAGAGACAAAGTCGTGCGACAAGCAGCCATGAGGTAGTTGACGACGAAGACGCTAGGGATCCACCAAGCACCGAAACAGCTCGCAAGATACGCGAGTCTCTGGCCTTTGTGTCGAAGACACCCGAAGATGAGATGACGAGCGGCATGACAATATTTCACATGGGGCTGGACTCTATCAGCGCGATCAAGGTCTCTTCTCTTCTGCGCAAACAGGGCATCATCCTCGGCGTTGGTGAGATGCTCCGAGCTGGTACGATTAAACAGATGGCAAGTCTTGTGGATTCGCGCACCACACAGCAGCTGGAAACCAGTGCCAATCCTCATGAAGTGGTCCGGGAGGCTCTCAAAGATCTCGATAGATCACACATCCTAGACCGGGCTCATATCGACGATGCAAGTGTCACAGAAATTCTACCAGTCACCGCCGGACAGCTATACATGCTGTCGATGTGGCTAAATAACAAAGGCAGCAACTTCTACGCCGAGTTCACATACGCTATCTATGGAGGTATTGGTCTCAACGACCTCAACAATTCGTGGCACGCCCTGGTTGCGACAAGTCCGATTCTGCGGTCCTCCTTCGTCACGACTGGCGATCATCAGATACCCTACGTAGCAGTCGTGTTGAAAGATCTGGAGAGCTCTGTCACAGATATCACTGGCTGCACACATGACGAAATCCGCCAGCGCGTCCAGACTACAACGACCATGCAGCCTTGGGCCTACCTCTTCGCCTCACAAACTTCCAGCGGCTGGGCGTTGAAGCTGAAGATCCACCATGCATTGTACGATGGTGTCAGCTTACCTCTTTTGATGCAGAAACTGCAAGCCATTTGCAACGGCGCTGAAGTCGATCCGCCAGACAATACACTTGCCCAGATGGTCGCTAAAGGGTACGGGACATCGGAATTAGAGAAGAAGAAGAGCTTCTGGACTCGGTATCTCGTGGACTTTGCCCAGAAGCTCTTGATGCAGCCTGCTGAGAGCCCCAAAACGAGGACACAGCTCTTCAAGCCAGCCTTGTTCGCAACGCCCAACCTGGAGGCAGCTGCGCGCCAACGTGGTGTTTCAACGCAGTCCATCTTCCTCGCTGCGTACGCAAAGGTTCATGCTGCGAACACATCGGGCACTGCAGATGAAGACGTGATCATTGGTGTCTACTTGGCCAATCGCTCGCTGCCTATCAATGGCATTGCCTCGGCTGCTGTACCAACAGTCAATCTACTACCATTACGTGTCGGTAAGCCGCTCAAACGCCAGATGGTAGAGATGGCTGAGGATATCCAACGCGACCTGCAAGAAATCAGTGAGCCCATGAACGCTTCTGCTAGCCTCTTCGAGATCAGCGAATGGACAGGTGTCAAGGTTGACACTTTCGTAAACTTCCTATCTCTGCCGGATACTCCAGAGGCGGAGGGAGAGGCCCAGAATAAGGACTCAATCACTATCGAACCGACTCAACAATGGGAGCAGTCGGTCAGTAGGGTGACCGAAGTGGAGGAGCACAGCTTGGAACCACCTGCTGAACTGGTGGACGAGCGTGTCAATGGCGCATATTTGGTAAGTATGCCTTTACGCGGTATTGAGACGAGCAGGAACTAACAGATATGTAGCATGCTATCGATATCGAGGCGACCATCCGCAATGGCGCCTTAGATGTGGGCGTCTTCGCACCAACCGCGATGCTGAGCCTTCACGATGGCGAAGAGCTGATAAAAGAGCTGAGGAGACAGCTCGAAACGCTCTGAACCCATTGTATTTCCCTTTTAGTTGTAACAGGTGTTCAACAGCACTAGGCGCCTGGTCGGTCTCTTTCTCCATTTTCGACGGCGTTGCGTTTGTTCCCTGCATGGTTTTGTACCTTGATTCTTTGTCCCGGTGTATATAGACTTTTCGCAATGAACTTCATTCAGCCAACCTACTTGCCTCCCTGTTCACATCAAGCCCATGTACTTCGTATGCATGTGATCCGTGTCCCTGTAGGCTAGCTCTAGCTGTAGTATCGTGTGGTAGCCACTTCGCGTGTGACGGCTGCGCAGGTTTGTTTTTGAAGCGGCGAGAAGGAGTAAGAAGCTGCGGAAGCTATAAGTCAGAGGTCTAGCGGTGTGTGACGTGGGAACTGGAGGAGACGAGGCGGAGGAGGAAGCGGGTAGTTGGCGCTGCCCAGGGCGGGAGGGGTCAAGATGGCAGCGTGCGGTTTTTGAGGATCGGGTCTGGAGTCGCATGTTAGTTGCAACGGCTTCGAATTTGTCGACGCGATTTCCATGCACCTATAGTATATCTGGGTGACGTCGCATAGGATCTATGAGTAAAGGGAGGACGCTCACAGGGTTGTAGGACAGTAAACACCAGGGCTAGTACGTAGAGCAGACTCATGTCTGACACCATAACGGGGCCGCTCAGGTGTTCCGAGACCCCTTTGGCAATAGATGTTCTGTAGAAAGGTACGTGGGTCGGCGTCGATCCCAGAAGGTCGTCGCGCAATGTTCGTGTAACGGACGCGTGCGCGCAGAGGCTCGGAATGAGGGTCATTCCGAGACATTCCGCGAGGGCCAAAGCTTCACAGCACAGCAACTAGCCAACAACTCGAATTATGCAGAATGTTATTAGACTATATTCATAAGTTGGATGTCATGGTATCTCTAGTGCTCAATAACGCCTCGCTATCATGATCGTCAGATGTCGTCGACGAAGACTACCCAGTAAATGCACAACCCATCCTTCCTTCTCGATTTCATCTCGTCCGCACCATGAGGCAGGTGTGCAGCCTCATCCTCACAAGCTGATATAGCCCAGAAGATCGTTAGTCTAAGCTGCTTAGACCATCTGCTCACCATGCCTATCAGCACCAACGGGCTTCCTCTGCACGCGGCTCGAGGCGCTGCCGTGGTGGCCGTGAGCAGGCCCGTCAGGATGCGGCATCATGGTACCCCTAGGACCATCTGCGGCATCGAAGGGTGCGCCGCCCCAGCTGGTTCCCTCAATTGTACCCCATCCAGCCTTGCGAGTGAAGACGGTGTCGTGGAAGCCATCGAAAGAGCTTGGACCGGCGCCGTAGACAAAAGGAGCATGGCGCATGAGAGGGATGTGGTTGAAACGGAAGTCCCAGACGGAGGCATAGGCCATGCGGTAGGCGCTGAAAGCCATCAGAGTGCCGATGACCGCTCCGGCGAGGATATCGTACTAAAGGTTTGTTAGTAGTTGTTCTAAAGTATAAGGTGAGAATCGTGAAGACGTACCCAGTTGTGGTACTCGTCGATAGTAAGAGCACCTCCGATCAAGCAAGCTCCAAGAATGGGTGCGTAGAGAGCGACGAGCTTCCACATAGCCGGGTGATGGTTGGAAAAGACCTTCAACTTGGCGTTGAGGTACAGGTACAGGTAGACGAAACCAGCGAACGCAGCCGTGGTGTGGCCGGAAGGCATAGACTCAAGACTGTCGTTGATCTCTTTCCTGTCACCTGTGCAGATGCTACGGTCGAACATGATCTGACGGTACCCATTTGCGACGTTGCCATAGGCGCTACCGGCTTCGACACCGTTGTCGTTGGCGCCGACAGTGTCAAGGATGTTGGCAGGGATGACAGGCTTGCAGACGGCAAGGAAGTGAGGACGAAGACCTCCAATGAGCCACTTGATGAAGACCTGGAAAACAGCCGCGGTGATCAAAGCGTAGAGAAGTCCGATGGTAGCATTGTTCAGGTCCCAGAAGCTGCGAGCGCGGATCTGCACGATCAGGAACACGGCAAAGGGGATGAAGAACGCCATGAGCGCGGCAGCCCAAATGGGAACAATTTCGTTCCGCATAGGGTAAGCGAATTGCGGGTAGACAATCTCTCCATCTTGGAAGATGATGGGGAAGCTGCGGCTTGGGGCTGGATCAGCGAAGTATACACCGAGACCGACAGCGCCCATGAGGGCCATGGTAAGGATGTCGAGCCAGGTAGCCTTGATCCATGATCCGAAGCCAGGCCTGCTGTTGTAGGAGGACGAGCCGCCCTTGGAAGCACGTCTAGGCCTGGCGCGCTTCTCGTGAGCACCGGTTGCCGTTGTGGTGTCTGCGGCGACGGGCGTCGTGTTGCGCTTGTTGAAGAACCCCATTTTGTTGGAAGTGGGTTCGATGTTGATCCGTTGAAGTGCTGGATTCGAGGTATCTATACCGCGTGCTGATGACGTATTGTTGTCTTTGTTGTGATTGTCTGTTCCGGAAGGGGTCACGCAACAAACGACGTAGCGTGCCAGCAAAGCCAACAGCACCTGCACTTAGCGGTCCAACTGAGCGGTCAAGGTGAGAAAAGAAGAGGGATAGGCCTTGTGGAAACTCGATAGAAAGGCTTGTAATGCGAGTCTTATATCCCAAAGCCAATTTCCACACTACAAAGCGTCACACGGCCACGCACTCTGTCAAACGACATCATTTTCGCATCTCTGCCACTGCATTGGTAAATTACCAGCCACAAACCGGTTGCTAACCCTGCCGTTACTCTCGATCTGGACGGCTGGCGGCATGGTGATGTGGAGGGCATGGCGATCTTAACGCGATTAAGCGGGCTGACACAAGGAATCTTGGAACCTGCCAAAAGCTTGGTGCATGTAGCCAAAGCTTGGTTTCGCTAGCGGTGGCTTTTGTGTGGCTGATCTGGTGGCGGTGATGTCAGGAAAGTGGCTTTCGCGGCATTTTGGTGCCGGATCTGCTTTCGATTCTTCACGATGTGTGGCGCTGCCGATGGTGTTGCGTAGCCTGCATGTTCTGGTTTCCCATGTGCGTCGATGCGCGATGACCGTTGGTGACGTCAGATGCATGCATTTCGGAGGGATACACTCATCTCGATGGGGTGAGCATTCTGCTCACGACACATCGCATCCCATCAGCATATCAGTTAAATCATGCACCATACGGCAAAGTTACTTTTGCTGGGTGCAACTTGCAAGAACTATTGTTCTTGAACGAGTATCTCTCGGGTTAGCGCGCCGGATCGTTGGCTTCACTCAAATACGCGTTGTCACGGTCAACGAGAAATCAGGTACAGACTGCATGTTCTCTTCGGATTCTATCAAAGCGGGTACTATAAAGAAACTTGTTGCGCAAAACTCCTCATGATAACAGACAAAATCAGGGCTGGTTGACCCGCCCTGCACCCGATTGCTTCAACGCCCTGTTCTCCCCCTGGGTATCATCCGCCTCAAACCATCGCGCACCTCCTTCCCCTCTCTATGTGCATTCAACTCCCAGCACGATTAAAACATGATCTAAGAGTGGATGTGAACCTCGGTGCTTCCGCTACGGTGCCAAGTCGCAAGAAGCACGCCACAGCGACCGCACTTGTGCTGGACATCCTTGAGCGAGTTCATCACATAAGGAATGCATCCCAAGCAGCAGAGGCAGCAAAGACCGAGAGCCCAGGCGTGCGTTGAGTTTCCCGTCTCGAAAGCGACGTTGGTCATGGCACGCTGTCCGCATGCAGGGCAATCTGTAGGCGCAGGTCCACGGTTCAGGTTCGCGATTGGTGTGGCGTTCTGGTAGACGGCTCCGCTTTGTTGTTGGGGAGGCATGCCAGGCTGGGCGCCAGCGTGGTCAGGTTGCACGTATGCGCCTTGTGGATGCTGAGGCGCCGGCGAGCCAGTGGGGTGGTCTTGGGGCTGTTGTGTATACATGGCTGGTTGCTGCTGGTATTGTGCGTTGGGATCTTGGTGGTAGATGGGTGGTTGACCGGTCGCGTCTGGCGACTGAGGGTATTGCTGCATGGGCACTTTAAGACTGTCAGCAAGATAGTCATGGTATTTGGGATAGGGAAATTGAAGGCCAGGCGGCGTAGTCATTCAAAGGACTATGCGCTTCATAACGGCATAGTTCTTGAGTCGCATTGAATCGCGTAGAATTCATACACAACAGTCGGAGGGCAATTACTAACCATTTTGCTTCTCCATTGTGAAGGTTTATATCGTCGAAGCCTGTGGAATACTGTTTTGCGTTTCGGTAGTATGAATGCAGCAAAAAGAGTTGGGCGTTATACAGCGGCGTTTACCACAACATGTGAGATTGGACGTGGCTTTTATTGAAGCCTTTAGGCGTTCCACCATCGCTTGGGTCCACGGCCAAGGGGGGCTCAAACCGGGTATCGCAAGCACAGCCTTCATTTCGCGTGATGATCACTCGCCGTTCACTCCGCGTAAGGCTCTTAGCTGCTTGACGAGGCCAATGAGCGATCCGAAGCTCGTACACGTAGCATGACTGTATGCAGGACTTGGAGGCGCTTCAGCCTCAGCTGCCCGCATTGGTGATGGGGCGAAGGGCGTTGGCGATGAAGGGTGCGAGTAGCGTGCCAGGGAATAGCGAGCCAAGGCTGTAATTTCCCGAAGCGGTTTGACGCAGTCCTGAACTTGGGGGCCAAAATCTATACTATTCTCATGTTATGCAAAGCCTTGCGCTGAACGCCTGGCTGACACGCCGCACCATAACGGGCATCGGCATGTGTTGTTGCCACGTCGTCTTGGCTACATCACATTACATCTCGAACTAGACATTGCGCAGAAGTATGATGGCATTTGACATTAGGTGTAAGGCTGTGCAGATAACCGCGATCAGCACGTGGTTACAGGATATCTACTAGCGACTAGGGGCTGCCCGTTCCTGCAGATACCTATTTTTGCACCGCTGTGCCGCCGCAAGGTTCGTTGATTCGACCAACCGAGACGTGACGAGACCAGGTGTGCGGAGACGGAACCGGTGAGCTGAGCGGGTGGGCAGACTGGTTCAATTTCACCGGTTATGCACGGCCTTTTCATGGCTTCAGTATCTCGTATCCATATCGTCTAGATCGACGTCGTCTTCTGACTCTGAATCAACGTCGCCGTTCGTTGGCTTTGCATGACCGACATCGCTCCGGTTCAGCAGTCTTTGCTGTTCTGGGGTCAGGTCGACGACGGTAGGAGCGTAGTCGCCAAGCTCCTCATCAGCGTCTGCACCATTGACTTCCATCTCTACTCTTTCACCATCCTCTAATTCCAGCATACCGCGCTTTAGATAAGAGCCCTCTGGTTCCCATCCGAACTCTTTCTGCATATATTCTTGCAGATCCTCTAGCTCATCTACCAAGTCAGCTTTCCACTTTCCGTCGAAATCGTCGAGAGCTTTGCGGAATTGGCCGAAGAGCGGCTTCAAGAAGCCTCCGCCAACATCATTCATGTCGAACAAGTCGCCTTCTATATTAGCGCAATGGCCAAGCTGTATCCGCAGGCATCGCAAGAAATCGAGGAACAGGCGCGATCGCTGTTTGACGGCTTGTCGACATGTGAGTAAAAGGCGCAGGAGCCGCTTCCACTGTTCGAGACAGGAGTTGTTGTTGAGGGTCAAGACCATAAGGAAAGTAAACTGCAGCTCGCCCAAGATTTCGTCCTCTCGTCCACGTAGATCACTCGCCTGGCAGTGGTTGTCGATGAGATCTCCCAGAAACCAGGATCGGTCTTGCGCGGCTTCTGTGCGTTCCCTCCCGGTCGCACCTTCTCTCCAAGTCTTTTTCAGGTCGATGGGCAGGAACCGTAGCTCCTTCTCCGGATGTAGCATGCTGTTACTATTCTCTAGGCCGGGTATTTCGTCCAGGTCTTGTGGGGCGGATGATGCGGATGTCAAGTTCCAGTGATCCGGATTCAGGCCACATATCCTCGATAGCATCGTGGGTGTGACTTGCGATGTAAGCTTGCTCCAGTCGGTAGATTCCTCAGACCAGCCTTCTTCAGCACCAGAGTCCCCTTCCTGGACGCTTTGTCGATAAGGTGTCAGGCCATCTTTCCATATGCTTCCCAGGTTCGCCTTGTGTCTCAGGACTTCGGTCTGCGAGGTTTCGGCTACGAAGTCTTCGGTGCTCTCGTCCCATTTCTTAACAAAGACTTGCGGCGAGCCTACGCCGGGGGTGACGTAGAACCAGGCGCCGTGCCTCACAGACAAAGTGCTGTCGCTTGCGGTGAAAACGAAATGCAGGCCTGGTGGAATGTTTTTGACTCCTCGAAAACGTGGTGATGAAGTGAAGGACAGGAGGTCGATGCCGGCAAGTGCCTTGGGGGGCAGATTCAGCAGCAGTACGCAGTTGTTGATTATTGACGGGTCCATCCTAGGGCGGAAGATTTCCTCGAACCAGGAATGTCGGAGAATTTTGAGAATAGGTTGTTCGCAAAGCTCTACTCGAGCAGGTGAGAAATGGGGTATCATTAATTCCAGGAAAGGCAAGACGCGAAAATATTAAAACACGTGAGCGCGGCAGCCTAGCTCTGATGCAGGGTCCAGGCAATGAACGCAACCAAGGGAAGAACGCAGGCGCTGAAAGTGGTCAGGAAGGAGTAGAGGTCGAACGGACGCGTCGCCCCAGCGCTTAAGATTGTTTCGCCGCATGAGTAGCTATCGGGGGAGCTTGTCGACATCTGATGCCATGTACCGGTAAAGAGTGACCGATATCTCCCCGAAACACACGCCATGCGTCATCGAGTTAGTACGAGGCTCGGCTCGGGATGGCGATCTCATCCCGACTCTCCACTTGTGCTCGAGGGAACCATCTGATTGATGGGTGTCCCTTGACAAGAAGCCGTCGTGGCAGCCATCTTGTTGTCTAGACGCCATCTGCCTGGGCAAGGTGCAACCTCGACGATATCTCATCGCCCTACCCCGCCCGGCCCGACCACTGCCAGCAGTGAAACCCTCACCCACTCCCCGAGACCAGCGCGCACGCAAGGGAGCAGTTGCAGGTGACATAAGCCCACGCTCTTCATGTTACCTGCAGAAGCATCCGTCCGAGCCATCCGACAGACGACGCACTGAAGACGCACGCGCACAACCGCCGCCATGGACCGTCGCCGCACCCCCGGCCTCTCGTCGCTCTCCTCGCGCGGCCTGCAGAACCACCACTACACGTCGCACGGCGCCACGCTGCGAACCCGCAATGCCGACTCCCTCTCGACCCAGCTGTCCGTCTTCCAGTCGCTCCTCCACAACTTCGCCGTCACCCACTCCAAGGACATTCGCGCCAACCCTGCTTTCCGCGCCGAGTTCGCGCGCATGTGCTCAGCGCTGAACATCGACTTCCTCGCTTCCTCGTACCACCGGGACAATAAAGATGGCAAGCCAAGTGGCGCCGGCGGGGAGAGCATCTGGGCACAACTGCTGGGCGGGAGTGTGAATGACTTCTACTTCAACCTGGGCGTCTTGATTGTGGAAGAGTGCCGGGCCACGAGATCAGAGAACGGCGGGCTCATCAGCGTCTCGGATCTCAAAGCCCGCATATCCAAATCCCAGCGCATAGGCGGGAGCATGGAAGTCAGCGATGACGACATCAAGCGCGCCGTGGACTCGCTCGCTCCGCTCGGATCCTGCTTCTCCATCATGAAGATTGGGCACAGAAGCTTGATAAGAAGCGTACCCAAGGAGTTGAATACCGACCAGAGCACGGTACTCGAAGCCATACAGGTTCTTGGCTACGTCACAGTATCCATGTTGCAGCTGAATCTCAACTGGGAGAGGCCTCGAGCCCATGCTGTGGTTGAGGACCTCATGGCAGACAGTCTGGTCTGGGTCGACACACAAGCCGGGGAGAACGAATACTGGAGTCCGGCCTTCCTCACTGCCGCCGGCATGAGCTCGTAGCACTTTCATAGGCTTGACATGAGGAACGAGCGCACGAGATACGGCATTATGATACCCGGTGTTTCACACCACAACGTAGCAGACAGTTAGATTGTATCTTTAGGCAAACTCATCATTACATATACAGACTATCATACATCTATTGCATCACCACAAAAGTTCAGTGTTGCAAATCCTCGCCTCCTCGCTGTCTTTCCACGCGCCCCTGGTATGGCTCAATTCAGGCAGTACTCTGCGATGCCACCTCACACTCCATCTGCGAGCGGTGTCTTCGTCTTCAAAATCCAGCACCCATCGATTGTATACGCGGTTCATGACTAGCTGATTCGTTTGGCTGGGGCTGTCTTCGTTTGCACCAGATAGCATGCTCTGAATCGCCGGGTCATCGTACGTCGTCTCCAAATCTGGATTCGCTGGCTTTTCAAAGGTGCCATATGCGCGAGGCCGATTCGACGAGACGGCCTTGGACGACGTCTTCAGATTAATCACGTCGCGAAGACGGTGAATCGATGTCTGCGACTCGTTGCGCAGGGGAAGAGTCATGCCATGCTTGTAGGCATCGCGAGAGAAGATTTTGAAAAGGTCCGACGTGCTGGGCTCGTAGCCTTCGATATGCATGAGCACCCTCCATACAGGGTTTCCCTTCTCGTCGACCGAGGGCGCGATGGGTTGGTAGCCGCCTCTCTCCACCAACGTACGCAGTACGGGGTTATAGGGCTGCATGAGAACATTGAGACTCATGGGGTGATGTGCGGGTAGAAGATTGTAGGATGAGATGGCAGCTGTGATATCTTCACCCTCTTCGAGGAACCCTCTAGGGGGTGGAATAGCGGAAAAGATACTCGCGGGCTGGTGGAGAGCGCTCAGCTTGTGCAATCTCGAAGCATTCTTCTGATACGCGAGGGCTGCCTCTGCGTTCTTGAAAAGTAAGTAGTAGAAGGGCAGTCGCTCTAGACTCAGCGGGTCACGACCAGGCACAATCTTATAAAGATCGCCATCTCGATGCCAACCCTCAATGTGCTTGCTCTTTGGTATGATGCGACGGAAGTCGGCTTCAGTCAGCTCAGTGCTACAGTTCGTGAGTTGAAGAACGGTAATTTGTTCCCCCTGCTTGCGCAACGAGTTGACCACTTGCTCTTTGAGTGACGGAGTAGGGTCGTAAACTTCCCGACGAACGATAGGCGTTGAGTCCGGGAGGTTGAGCTTGGGATACCTATCGCTTTGCTCGGGCTGACGAGGTTGCAGAGTAGTGCTTGCCTCCGGGAAGAGTTCTTCAAGAAGCGATTGCTCCCTCATTTCGGCGGTACCCCGTGTTGGTTTTGGTGATAGATTGGCAGTAGTGGATGGGCTAACCTCTGGCTTCTGCTGCAAAAGCGGCGATGTCCTCATAGATTGCTCGGTCGTTGTACTCTTTCCGTCACCGTCTTCAGTAGTGGCGCTCAAGCCGTCTGACGACTTCATTAGGCGTGACTGTGTATGAATCCTTCGCGTCAACCTCTCGCTGTCAATCTTCTTCTCTGAGCTTTTTAGCTCAGAGCCTCTTGGGAATTTCTTCACGTTTTCGGCATGTTCGCGGGCTTGCCGGCGATACTCTTCCACCGACGGGAGTACTGGTTTCGGCGCTCTTGGCGTGGTTGGTGAAATACGAGCAAGGTCTTTTTTCAGCTCTTTCACACTACTGCCAATCTTGGATGACGTTGCTCTTATGTCGCTGACGTGTAGCTTCAAGAGTAGATCCGGTCGCCCATTCACGCGAGCAGAGTGTCTTTGTTCCGCGTGGAGCAATTCCCAATTCCTGTATGACGCTCTTAGAGCCTGCTTAAGCTCAAAGTCACCCTCGATTGCTGCGTCTTCATCCAATACGCGTATGCAGTCACGAGCATGTCGGGTAACTGGGGCCACTGCTAGAGAGCGTGCTGTTTCTAGCTCTGTAGCCACACTGCCTAATGTGTAGACCGACTTACGGAGGGCTTTCTGGCTATACTCAAGTGTGCGAGACAGGGTCTTCGGATAGGAAGTATCAGAATGACGGAAAGAAACCGGATCGCCGCTCATTGAAGCATGTCCTAGTAACGACTGTATCGGGGTGGAAGGGTATGCATCGTTCCGGGGTATAACAGGTGCCGCAGTCGGTATGTCCTGCTCCCTGGGGGGCGAAGACGGCAGCTGTCCCAGCGCAATCTTTGTTTCTAATGCGGCCTGGAGGGCTTTGACTTGCTCGAACAGGCCCTGGAGCTGCTGACGTATGACTGTAGTATCGTCATCTCGAAGAGTTGTAGCGACCTCCTTCTGGTTACTTGTGGTCGGATTCTGCCTACGCTGATCTTTGCGTATAGGGTCTTGGTGTTTCCGTTCACGTTCTCTTGTTTCGGGAGACACAGGTAAGGCCAGAACCTTCCTTACAACAGCTGGCTGGCCCAAGCGTCTCTCCACAGTATGTTCGGCCTTCCTCGCGGACTCAAAATCTTGATCTGGACTGTCCGCCTTCCCTGTGTGCTTGTCCTGTGGGCGTGTTCCCGAATGTGAATGCAATATCCTTCGCTGGCGCTGCGCCAGCGATTCAGTGGTCTTCCTGATCACCACAGCACCAGTGTCATATGTCTGTGCTTCGGATATGCCCTTCCCCTCTTCATTCAATTCGGACGTAGGACGGTTCTGGGCTTGCGATTGCGATTGCGATTGCGATTGCGGCGGCGATGGCGGTTGCGATTTGGTAGACGGTGTAGTCCGGGTCCAGGGTACAAGTCTGATCAAGCCCCCGTTCAACCAGCTTTCCTTCTCTGTTGTGTGGCTGTCGGCAGTGGTGGTTTGCGGGGATTCATCGCCGACGGTCGAGGATGGTGCGGGCGTCGTCCTGTGGGCGCAGCGAATCTGGTACGCGGTCCCCGAAGGATGACATGGCCGAAGATGTCGAGGAAGGCGCGGCGGTGGCATAAATTGCACGGCTTCGTAACATGGCAAGCTACCCTCTCTCGAGCGCGATACTCAGAAAAGCTTCGGAATGGGCCCGCGCTAGCACACCCATCCGGTCTAGCTCCCCGGTCGCTTAGTCACCCAGCATCCTTCACCACATTGGGCTGCATTGAAGGGCCCTGACAATGCTGCGCTAAGAGGCAATGGTACCTAGGTACAGGTGGAGATGAATTCGCATGCTAATTAGAGACTTCCAAAGTTGAAGCCTTCAGTACACACGTGACGTGAGTCACACCAACGGCGCACCCAAAGCACTTCCGAGATTTTCACCACCCGTCTTGACATTTGCTGCAGTGCGCGGTGACAATATGAGCCCGGCAACATCTTACACTCTGCGCCCTCTGGAGCGCAATCCTCCGAGCATTCCCAGTAACGCACTCGAGGGCGGCGCCTTCCGTATTCATTTATCACAGAAAGAGCTGAAAACGTTGGGGCTTGTTAATGGCGATTGTGTACGGCTGAGTACTGCTGCCGGTTTCAAAGGCTATGGAGTGGCCTGGCTAGCCTCGCAGACAAATCCTGGCAACAAGCCAATCGCCAAGGTGTCTGATCTTCTGCGAGAGCAATACGACCTCTCGCTTAACGATCCCGTCTTCATCGAGAAGGTAGACTCCTGGAAGCCTCTCAAATCCATAGAGATAAGTCTCGCAGACGCACCAAATCAAACTGCGAAGTTCAGCTCGAACGAGCAACTTTTGTATTGGCTACGACACACTTTAGGTAGGTCAACGATCATACTTGGCTACTGTTTCTGACAGCTATGTAGCAGTGGACTCTGACATTATTCTTCCGGGATGCAGCTTTCCAGTTCAACAAAAAGGCTTCAAGCAGAAGAGCCAGAAGTTGCGTGTCACCGTGCAGAACATTGATCCGCTGCCAACTGAGAAGTACGCGACATACTTCGACGAACTTACTACTGAAGTCACTACCACGGGTGATATCCCTACTCAGCAGACCCCGAGAGCTTCTAAGCAGATTCTCCAGGTAAGGGGTGATGGCATCGGTGGACTTTCTGCTCACATCACTACGATGAACAGACGCCTCTCTTACCTCACAAACACTCTACCTCATCAACGCGACGTACGCCTTTGTGGACCTACTTCTTTCTTACTACACGGCCCCGAGGGTACAGGCAAAAGTCTTCTACTAGAACGGCTAGCGGAATGCCCATGGCAAGAAGTTTACCGAGTAGATCCAGACACGCATCCAAAAGGACAAGCCAAGGCAATATCCGATGTTTTTGAGGACGCTCGTGACAACCAACCGAGCTTAATCATCATGGATAACCTCGACAGATTTCTCGAAAAAGCTGAGACGCTCGTGAATAAGCTGCGGTTTGAATTGGCCAAGCTAGGTGGTAGCCAAGTGGTCGTGGCAGCAGCAGCACGTAGCATATACGATGTTGACACCAGACTTCGATCACCGTCAGCTTTCAAAACGAAGCTAGAGATCTTTCCACCCAACACCACTCAGCGAGAAGATATTCTCCGACAAACTTTGGGCACTACGAGCAAACTTGGAGACCTTGACTTCCCAGCGCTGGCAGAGCGCACACACGGTTTCGTCGGACGCGACATTCACGATCTGTGTCTTCTCGCCCGAGACCGACGTGAACAACAAATAGATGAGACGATAAGCGAGGAAGAAAAGACCACCTTTGGTAAGAAGCTTGAGCAAACAGACTATGTTTGTCAGGAAGATTTTGATGCCGTATTCGGAGAGGTACAACCGACGGTTCTCAAGGACAGCATTCTAGAGGTGCCCAAGGTCCGATGGACAGATATCGCTGGTCTTGATCACGTTCGCGCTGTGCTTGAAGCCATTACTATCCGCCCATTCAAGGTAAGCTATAGTCCTATGTCATCTCTACATCTCCCACGGCTGTATTCAATTCACCCTTAGGTGTTCGTCTACCTCTGCAACCAGGCTCAAAGCTAATCACATCTCCAGTATCCCGACCTCGACATCAAATTCGGCGGCCCTCAATCCCGAAAAGGCGTTCTACTCTATGGCCCGCCCGGTTGCGCAAAGACCCTGATCGCACAAGCCGTTGCGACGGAGAGTAAACAAAACTTCCTCGCAGTCAAAGGCTCTGAACTCATCAAGATGTATGTGGGCGAGTCCGAGCGAGCTATCCGGGATGTATTCCGTAGAGCACGCGCGGCAAAACCGTGCATCATCTTCTTTGACGAAATCGACTCCATCGGCAAGTCGCGCGAGAAGACGCAGGATAGCGGTCTCAACGTCGTTACAACGCTGCTGAACGAGATGGATGGTATTGAAGCACTCAAGGATGTGTTCATCATCGGCGCGACCAATCGGCCTGACATTCTCGACTCGGCGCTCATCCGTACCGGCCGTTTCGACGCACATATCCACATCGGCCTTCCGACTGAAGAAGCGCGGAAGCAGATCCTGCAAATCCATACCAGAAAGAGACCGCTCGCAGAGGACGTCGATCTCGATGTTGTTGCCAAGAAGACGGACGGAAGCAGTGGAGCAGATATCAGTGGGTTATGCGCTGTTGCCATCGAGTTGGCGATTACGGATTACACAATGGATCCCAATAGCGAGCCGAAAGTTTACATGCGACATTTTGAGCAGGCGCTGCAGCAACACGTCCCACATACCATTGCGGATGAAGCCGAACGGTACAAGAACTGGCGGCCAGGCACGTCGCTGTCGGAGCCGTCGAAGTCGGAGAAGTAAACGAACGATGCTGTTAGTCTTCAGGATTAATCGAACTGATCGTGCGCTTCCTCATGTACTTGATCTGAAAAAGCTAGATATAAACACATGCTTTAGATTGTGCGAAGAAAGCTGTTCTATCAAAATTGCACAATAAAGAGATGCGGAGTGCTTTGCTTGTATGATAGATCGGTATAGATCACCGTGAAGGTCTTTATGTTACAACATAGCACACGAAAAGCAAGGGTATCCTCGAACACAATTCCGCAACGCCATTCCCCCCAGCCCCAGTTCGAAATCCCGTTGTATGTACTTAGCCAGCAAGCTCCGCCTCCTTGAAGATCGGTATGTTGATGTCGAACTCCTCGTCAAAGCCGGCCACTCTGCCGAGAATACAATTGGCTTTCTTTTGTGCCTGCTCGCTCATGTCCGCCACGTGCGTGAGCGCAATATGGTTCATAAGTGTTTCCACACCACCGTAAACGCCCGTGACTTTGTCCTGCCCTGAGCAAAGCAGGCAGCCGAAGTTGTCGTCGTTTGAGCTAGGTTCTGCTGCCTTCTTCTTCACGTGTGATTTAGCGAGAAACATCCACCTGGAGAGTGGGAGACGAAGTCAGCATATTTCTCACATGCTGTTTGAACAAGGACACGCTTACCGATACCGTATCCCGGACATGGAAGTCTTGACACGCGGGTCCACTATCTCGACAGTCTTGTTCTTTTTCGTGGGGTGCGGCTTCGTGAAGACGTCGCCCGTGAAGGTACAATGCTTACACCCCCAAATCTGCTTTGTGTTGTAGTAGCCACAGGGCTGAGTGCGGACTGTGATACCCTTCTTGAGGTCTTCTCTGACAGCCCAGGCACCCTTACAAAATCCCCAGTAATCGTTGTCCTTGTTAGGGCGGCCGTTCATCATTCTTTCACCACCTGCTGGTCCGCTTTGAATAGTATCGGATCTGAAGTTGTTGCGCATGCGGTGGCCTGGAAGGATGCCGATCGGAATAGAGCTGCTGCTGTCGGTTGAGGCGACAGAGGGCGTAAAACTAGCATGTCGAGGTCGGCTTGTAGCTGGAGAAACTGGCATCAAAGAAGTAGCGGCTGCTGCTGGAGAACTATACGCAGCCGCTTGGGGGTTGCTGTTGCTACGTTGGCCGGGTATGCCGCGTTCTGTTGCAGGTGCCATATAATGCTGAGGGTGCACTAACTGTCTAAGACCGGCAAGGTGTCCTTCAGCTGGTGCAGGATATTGCTGTGGCTGCGTATACGGTACAGATGGTGTTTGGGAAAGTGAAGGGGAAGGATGTCGTTGCTGTTGTGATCCAGGCCAAGGCATGCGCGTAGGTGCATTTGCGTTGTTCTTGGGTGTATTGATGAGCGGCGCATGAGATTGAGGGCGTAAAGGTGCCAGCGGTGCAATGGGAGAAGGTGTATATCTGTCTTCTGTGGCCATATAGGGAGAGCTGTATGGTGGAGCACTACGAATCTCATCGTCTTGATCATATGGTGCTACTGGAGGTCGGGCATGTTCACCTTGCGATGAGTTGGAGCTTTTGCGGCCAAGAGATGCTGTGTTAGACTGCGTAGAGCTAGAGGTATCAGACCATCGAGGATGTAATGTGTGCGTTCCTGTCTGGTGAAATGAACTACTTGCGGGATGCGGTTGATTGTAGACATGCTGCTCCTTTATCGGCCTGACGGTATTCACTTGACCGGAAGCCAATGGTGAATCATGGGAACGCTCATTTAGGCTTCTATCCAGCTCTTGCATTGATTCAGTATATGCGTCTCGGTCATTGAGCGTGGTCAGCGTATCTCGGCGAGTGGGATGGGCACCACTATGCCTGTGGGGTTTCCCTAGTCTTGACTCGTTTTCGACGTTGAGGCCTTGATAAGAGCTAATCATGTGCTGGATATCATTCATAATCGATGCGCGGTCTTCAGGACGAAGTCTGTCCAGAGCTAGAATGACAGGCTCCGCAGCTTGTGTAGGGGTATAGGCCGGACGAGACGCTCTCGACGTATCTTGGGGCCGGCAATAGTCGGGCAGACTATGTCCAGTATAACCAAAATCGTTCTGCGATGGAAAGCTTGCGGTCGGATAGCTATCTGACAGCGAACGTATCTGGCCATGCCTCGAGTCACTTGAAATGTCCTTGTAGTTCTCACCGACCGCCCTCAACGGTCGCACTATCGGCTTTGCTATGTAGATTCTTTGTTTCAGCTCGTCCAATGTTGTCAGAGTCTCTTTTCGGTTCGTAATGGAGGCTTCGTGGAGGACATGCAGATTAAGCACACAAACTTCGCTGAAGGCTCAACGTTAGCTCTATCCCGATATGCCAAACATCTGGACACTCACTTCGTAGCGGCTTGCCGTAAGCTGTTGATTATTTCGGCCTGCAGCATGAAGCCTATATGGTAGAGACGTTCCCGAGCGGTATCTGTGCGCATGTCTTAATTCTCAAGTCCACTATACGAGCCTGATTCGTAGAACTTACCATCTCCAACGCGCACATAGTCACCCAATTCTCTCTGATCTTGCTTATATCTTAGAGCGATCTGCTGTTCTCCAGCGATAAGAGAGTCTTGTAGCTGCTCCTCCTCCCATTCTTGCTGACCTTGATCGCGGGCTTTACGAGCGCGGCGTTTCTGCTTGACAAGCTTGAGGAGCTCTGATCCACCGTGGAACGCGGAAACAACAGCAGACACTGCTGCGACGATCTGATTAATTGTGAGCAACAATCAGAAGAGGAGACTTGTATTCTTGGGCGAGGTCGCGTGCGCACACCTGCAGATGAATTTTCGGGGCATAAAAGAGTAGACCTACCTCAAGACCGGACATTCTCGATAACGAGTTATTGTCCCCCGAAGGTAGCCGTTTTGCTTTGCTGGTTGGCTAGATAGCGCTCCCAGATCGTGTTGAGACCATTAGGGCGAAGCCTTCCACTGGTTTCTGGTCCTGGTTCTCGTTGTATCGAGGATGATTGAGCCTGAGCAGGCTGAAAATCGAATGTCTCGACTGATCCTCAGATTTAGGGCTGACTAGGCTTGCGATAAGCACCAACTGCGCGCAGTGATGGACCTTTCTAACACATGCTCAATCAGTACGAGAGGAAGCAGAGCTACACGTAGAGTCGTCGCGTAAGATAATGCGATGGAGGCCGAAGGGGAAGATTGGATAGCCAATCTGGAATAGAACAGATTGATTGTAAAGTGAGAAAGGGAAGTCCCTCAGAAGGCTGAAGAGGGTTCCTTCCCATCGGTACTCCGCCTCGCTCGAGTCTGACTGGGTGGCCTGCGACCGCTATTTACATTAGGCTAAGCCTTTGCTGAGCCAGGCGTAGGCGACAGTATTGCTTGACCGAGGTGCAGCGCTCATTGTGCTATCTAGCGCGGCCGTTCCAATGATGAGTAGCGATGGCTTCAGGCCAGGCGGGCTGTGTGATGCCGTCTAGCCTGGAAGCGAGTGGCATACTGTATCGTAAAGCAGGAAAGGCTTGGCTGGTGGCTTCTTTGCAGCCACATCTCTGACTAGTCCGGCTCTTAATTTGACAGATGCGCTCTGCTGCCAGTATGAGGGCCTATCGTGACGGGTGAGGCTTGAGGCCTGCTGCTCGCCAAGAGGTGGGGGCTGAATGGTGAGGGCCACACCCCGAAAGTTGCTTGAGAGCCGGCCTTCTTTACAGGAAACGAACTCAGCATGTACCTAGGTAGTGTGCGCTGTAGGTCTCGGAGACGAGAGGCTGGAGCTCGGTCACTTTGGCTGAAGTCTGTTGGGTGGACGGCAGTGAGATGATAGATGGTGCGCCTTCCTGCTTCCGCTCCCGAGCGGGGGTGGCCAGGTGGTTCGCGCCATAGCCACCACGCTTCTCCAAACGGTAGCTGCGACCATGTGCCATGCCTGCCTACGAAGAGTACGCGCGAGAAGTCTGTGCCAGAACACACTCAACCGAATGCTCATTCTTTCTAGACAGCTTTTCGCAGTACCAGAATACATCTCGAAAGCGTTCGCAACCCTGTATACATACGAAACAGCGCCGATGCGATGCATTCTACCGGTTCACCGGTCGATCCTCTCGGCCCCATCCCAGGAATGTGGGTTTCGGGACGCACAGCGTTCAGCAGGAGCCCAAAATTCACAGGCTCCAGTCAGTGACAAAGTGACAATAAGCGCAGTGATAGTTGTTGAAAGTTCCATTCGCAAACTTGCAGGCCTTTCAGCGGTACCAAAGTCTTTCGCCTAACCCTATCCTTTCACCGACCAGCAGTACGTCTCGAATCATCCCTAGCCGCATGTGAAGAAGTCCAGGGATATCCTGGAGAATGCAACCAGAACGACCCCCGCTTATAAGAAACAACCCGCATAAACCCAAATGGCACGCGAGTACATTTTGCAACTCTCGGTGTATCAGCGCATAACGCCCTAGTAATACCAAGTCCCGATCGCTAGAAACGCGATTCAACGTAGAAGGACAAACGAAAAAAAGAAGAATGAGATGTTCTCGAAAGTTTGTAGAAGTGAATGAAGAGACAAAGCTTATGCATCTTCGAGCTGTACTCTCTGGCTCTTCCGGTTCCTGACTTCCACCATCGTAGGGGTGAGGGCCAATCGATCCACCACACGATCCTCGTGCGTACTCGTCAAAGTGCGAACCACGCCTCTTGGGCTATTCGCTCTGCTGACAGATACACTCCTTGCGACGCCGACCATGGCTTTCGCTGTGGCGACTTCTTCTGTCTTTCCCTCCCTTCTCCTTGCTTGGATCTCAGCTCGCTTCTCACCGAGCCTACTGGCCGAGTGTGGTGGAGTTGACAAGCTCTGCAACCTCTGCAGAGGGGAGGGTGCGTCAAGAGGTGCAGAAGACGGGTGCGATGACAGCGCGCTGAGTTTGGTCACCTTCGGCTGCTGTTGCGAGGGCGAGCGGATTAGTGGGGACGACGGCTCGCTGTTGACTGTAAGGGTCTCGCTTTTCAGAGTCCTCACTGGCTTCGTGCAGATCTCCCATTCAGGCTCTCGCTCGTCAAGATGCAACGTAATCGGTTTAGGATGACCGGGTGATGCCTGGGCGACTATGATCGTGATCGATTCGGCCTCAGATTCGAAGCTGCAAATCGAGGTAGGGGTCAATGCTGGCTTCAGGTACGGAGATGATACAGGCTTCAGCTTGGTAGAATCCATCTGTCTTGTCGTGTTCTCTGTATTCTGAGCAAAAGTTTGCTGAAGGGGAGACTTCGTGGGCATCGTCCGGGACCGCTTCAGATCCTTTTTGCTACGGCTCATGATGGATCCTGACAGAGGTGACGGTGCGCGGCCGGGGTTGGTGGACGGAAATAGGGACAGCCGTGGTGAGCCAGACGCCGGAGCGGGCGAGGTCACCCTGCGCTGGAGACTGTAATCTACGGGACTTTCGTCCTTCTGATCGTCCTACCTTCACGTTAGCCCTAGTTGGAAATAGCCATACCTGCGGATACATACCTTTGCAGACAGCTCTAGCAGTGGCTTGATCTTCTCGGTGTTGCCTTGCCGTCTTGCCAAGAGGGATAATCGGTTCGGGTCGGACTGCAAGAGGTTTCCGAACATAACGCTGTATCTTTCCATTGTGATATCGGGAAGGCTGACGTCCAGAAGCGGCCCTCCATCATCTGCGGACCCGGTTGGATTCTGTGGTAGTGCTTTGTTGGTTGTGCCCGGTAGTTCAACCTGTGGCACAGGTGGGACCTCGCCCGCAACGCCTCGCACTCCTAGAGCAGGCGTTGTAAAAGACCGTTGCATAGACTTCTTAGGCCCATGTGACGGCATATTTCCGAGCGTCATAGCACGATCTCGGGTCGCAGACGTCTCCGGTGGCGACTGAGGTGGGACGAACTCTCCTGGAGCCCATTTCCGCGATGCTCGGATGTTCGGCCTATAGGTCGGCGGTGACACACTGCGTAACTTCTCCCTCTCTTTCTCTTCCGGTCGAGCTGCCTGGGGCTCATTGGCTTCCTCGTCATGGTGGCTGTCTGCGCGAGGTGCCGCGGCAACGGTCTGCGCCAGCTGATAGAACGATGGCTTTTCTGGTTGAGGGGGAGGCGCTTTACGAAACAACGACTTCCATCGGCTGATTTTGGACTTGGGTGCCTCAACACGGCTGCTCAGCGAAGCCGAAGAGTCGTTGGGGTGGTTTAGTGTTGCCATTGGAGAATGGGCGGGTTTCGAGTCGGTTGTTGGTACCGCAGCCTCAGGCGGTGATTTCAAATGTGAACCTGAGGTGGGTGACCCAAGAGCGATACCAATGACCCCTCTTTCTTTCGTGGCGTCTGGACTGTAGAGTACAGTTGTCGAGGTAGTAGGCGATTGGAACGAGTGGATATGGTCCTGAGAATAGATCGATGGTGCAAGATTTGTTTTCCTATGGAACATGAATGGACGCTCTCCAGGTCCACTCGATGTGCTTGGCCGCACTGCCGTGCCTGGGACTCCTAGATTTACTTCGGTGCTCAAATCGGAAGTGGAGGGCTTGTATTTGTCAACGCCTGTTTGAGAACCCTTAACAGGCGGCATTGAGGCCCCATTGTCTTGCTCAGTGGCGTCCCTGCGATTGTTTCTCAGAAACCTCAATGACTTCGACCTTGTAAGCATCCCGGGCATCTTGGGTTTCAAATTCGTTAGAGTGAAGGTATAGTGAGTATGAAGAAAAGACAGGAAGATATTGGCGTGGTTGTAAAGGAATGGACAGCTCTAGTGAGCCAAAGAAATGGAACAAGCCGCGACACAGTCGTGGAGAGGTTGAGAGAAGGAAGAGATGCAGAGAACGGCGGAATGTGCGCCAGTATCACCACCGGTCTGCCAGGAAACGAGCCTGGCGCCTCCACACTTCGCTGTCATCATACCAGCGGCAATCACTCATCCACTTTCGGGGCGTCTGGGAGAAATTGCAGAGTCGAGAACCCGCCCGTTGCGGAGCCAGGACCAGGGTAACGCGCTGCATGAGATCGGTGGTTCGATTGGCTCTGCGGCATGTCGCGCCAACGGGACCCATGGCATTTGGCAGGATCACCTCGTCTGCGCCGTGGCAGGGTGACGATACCGGGGGGAACAAGCGACAAATGCTGCAGGGTTGGGATGCACCAACCTTGGCCAGGTGGTTTCAAGACGACGCTGGGCCGAGGAGCAATTTCGCGATCCGCCGCCAAGACGATCCGACCGACTTCACTGGCTGTGGTAAGATTATCAACCGTCAACGAGCCCACCCACCGTGCAACGAGGCTACCTACAACAAAGCTGACGTCTGCTCTTGCAAGACGCAAGCTGAGGTGCACATGCGGAACCTGAGAAGCTGCGACACTGGGCCACGCTGAAGCAACAAGTCCTCGCCCACCTGTGATCGCTGGGAAATGAGACCCCAACACATCATGTGTGGATACGGCGCGACGTTTCGGGCTTACTTACCCAAGATTGCGGACGAGGTGTCGCCGCCTTCCTAATCAGACAGGCATGTATACGCGCGACAGATGATTGAAACGAGGCATGAGCGGTCTCGCCTGCCTCAGGCACTCACGCGACCTTGTCTAGGCGGCCAACACGCCCAGTATGCAAAACGCAATGCACCTGTGAACGCTCAATCCAGAGGACATACCGAAGGCGAGTATAAGCATTTTACTTGCCGCAACCCCACCGCTTGCTCGCCTAATGTGCCGATACACTCTGCATGCTCATTGTGCAGCTAATCGAATGACTTTCCTCCAACATCTCCAGCGCACGTCGTGCGTGCCCACATCCACAAGTGCCGGATTGAATCCCCTGCGACATATAGAAGCAACCGATATACCGGTCTGGACATCCCTTACGAAGCTACGACATATCGATGACCCTGCTGTCAGTCTAGGAAAGGATGTCGCAGTCTCGAACGCATGCATCGCAGGAATTGATGCAAGACTCCTCTGTCGATGCGGCGTAGGACCGTTCCAGTTGGTCTCTGCCTCTGCTGCTTCATCGGGAGGCAAAGCTGGCGAGTCTTGTTCCCACCACTTTCGAACTTCGCTCCTCGTCGCCTGACCCAGACGGACTTGGACGATTAATTGAAACTTCTTATGGCTTCGCGAACTGGCTCCCGATTAGCAACATATCTTCAACCCTCGCTCCATGTGTAGCAGCATGCACAAAGGGCGCAGTTGGACTTCAGAACCATCTCCACATTCCGAGTTGGCCATAGCACCCGCGCCCATCTTCTTTCCTCTTTCTACGTGGCCGAACTTGCTCGCAACTTTCATGCGTCGTGCATACATCGTTGCCGCCCTTTGAGAGAGAGTAGTTCAAGTGCCAAACTTGTGCGTAAATCCAATAGAATATGATGGCTTTGGACGTCCGCGGTTTCTGTATGGAATGCCTTCCTTCGGGTATCTCATTCGGCCGGATGAATTGTACGTCCATTGAAGCGTATATCGAACACCGCACAGCGACAGGCTCTGCAATACGTTTTATGGACTCTGTTCGGGACGCAATGGAAATGTTGATTAATCAATAAACCCATTTAACGTCCGTGTGGCACTCGAGAGAAGTCCGCAGAGACTTTGTAGCAGGCCTCGGGACCATCCGACAGCGAGTTCAGTAATCTTACTTCTACACCACGAGGCTACCTCTGACTTAATCCAAAACGACATTCGTCGCAAAGTCGACTCCAAGTTACTCAAGAAAAGTTTCGCTCTATCGCGCATTGCGACGGGACAGAACTTGAGTTCCTGGACAGCTGCAGGCGCAGTTTTAGCTGACCACATACCACAAGTATGCGCTAATGTAGCTGTAGCGCAGAACATTCAAAGTGGTCGATGGAAGGCCGCGGGGACATGTTTGCCCGACCGGTCACGAGTGTTGCCGAAACCTTATAGACAATACCTCGGGCAACCACCTAGTCGGACCTCCCTTCTGACCTTTTGCTCGAAGTAGCCAGAATTTCTCAAATCAAGGTGAAATTACCAATCTTTCGGACGAGATCTGCGGTGAATTAGAAGCGGCATCTTGGGCCTTTGGCGCGTTGACCGTCGTTGGACTGTACGATATATAAGGTTGATGGCGCTTTCGGATATGTATTCAACAACACGCCCTCAAACCTCAGGATCATTGATTCTCAAGCCATCCGTCTCTTATACCTTCGCACAGTCTTGCAAACCTCAGTCCTCTTACAATACTAGCATTCGCCAATCTTATCTTTACTCCTCTACAACAATAAGCTGTCGTACACGCAGGTGTCGAGTCCATCAACTTCAATATGCACTTCAACCCCGAAAAAGACATACCCGACCTATCGGGAAAGGTCATCGTTGTAACAGGCGGCAGTAGCGGTCTCGGAAAAGAGAGCGTTCTCCAACTCGTCAAGCACAACCCAGATAAAGTCTATCTTGCAGCCCGGACAAGCAGGCGAGGCAACGCAGCAATCGAAGAGATCGAGAAAGACGTTCCCTCAGCAAAGGGAAAGATACATTACCTCGAGGTAGACATGGCATCGTTCGCATCCGTCAAGCAAGCCGCCGATCGCATCCTCACCGAAAACACTCGTCTGGATATCCTAATGAACAACGCCGGCACAACAGGCAACCCTGCAAGCGTAACGAGCGACGGCTACGAGGTCCAATTCGGCAGCAACTACATGGGCCCTACTCTCTTCACGAAACTACTCCTGCCACTCCTGCTCAAAACTGCCGAAGAGCCAAACAGCGACGTTCGCATCATCAACCTTAGCTCCGAACTATTCAAGCAAGGTCCCAAAGAGGGTATCCTCTTCCCTAAGCTCACAACTGCTTGTGAGGACATGAGCTCCGTAGCTCGTTACGGCCAATCGAAACTGGCAAACTACTATTTCAGCAAGGTCAGCGCACAGAAATACCCAAGCATCACATCTGTAGCGCTGCATCCCGGCGTTGTTAACACGGGCATCTGGGATAATTTGAAGACAAGAAGACCTGTACTAGGTACGGTTCTTTCCGTAGTCTTTGGTCCGTTCCTGACGAATGTTGCCGACGGTGCGAAGGCGCAGTTGTGGGCCAGTACTGCGAAGAAGAGCGAGGTTAAGAACGGGGCTTTCTACACACCAAAAGGCAATGGGAATGAGTACACGCAGGCAATACTCAAGAACGATAAACTTGCGAATGAGCTGTGGGAGTGGACCCAGAAGGAGTTTGCGAAGCATGGATTCTGATTAACGTTGTGGGCTTGTGTCTCAAATCTTTCATCAAATCGTACGGGTAAAGCGATGGGGTATTTTTACATGAACAATCAATACAGCGTTATCGCAGTATTTAGCAAGTAATCATAATACAAAACCATTTACCCTGCAGTTCCTTAATTTCAAAGTGAATAGCAACAACTGAGGCCTTGCAAAAGGTAGTAATTGTGAGCAAGCAAAGCATCTGAAAGAGCACGGGAAAGAGCAACATCACACAGCACATAGCGAGAGTTCGCCAAATTTCGCAACATGAAAAAGAAACGCGTTCATATGTATGCTAAACATCGCTCAGTCTCGAAGATTTATCAAACGCCGCTGATGTGAAACTTATGAACCCATACCCAAGACCCATATTTTAGGGGAGAAAAAAAGAGAAAAAACAACGCCACAGCTTATGCTTCGGCCTGCGCCCGCTGACCCGCGGTGCCCAAGTCAACACTTTTATGATATTGCTTACATGGCAAATTCTGGTGCGAATCGTCCTCGTCGTACTCAATATCAAACATACGCTTCAGCTCTTTACATGCTACCATATATTGCTGTCGAGCACCCGGGCTCTCCCTAAGAGGATTAGGCGCCTTGTCCCAGCCATGTGGCACCCCGGGTACACAGTGGTAATGCACGCGCTTTCCAAGATCCTTTTGTAGGCGGTCGCGGAATCGTTCGCCCTCAGCGAGAAGCATGTCCCATTCACAACAGAAGAGGACAATGTCGTCAGGGAGCGCCGCAAGCATGTGTTTTGGTGCCACACCAGGGCTGAGCCATGGATGTGCAAGATCGAGCGAAGGTGGTTGGAGATACGAGTCGTCGAAGAGATCGGTGAAGACAGCGGGGAGGTTCTGGTCAACCCTCGAGCACGTCTCTCGGCGCTGGGCGCGGGTTTGCGTATAATCGGTCGGTGGATAGAAGGATACTATGCCCCTAATTTTGAGGACAGTGTTGGACGCCTCCGTCATGACTGACACTCCCGAGTTGTCTTTGTATGAGGATATGAGCGATAGCGAGGAGGCGCCTGTCTGGCGGAGCATAGCAATGCGATCGAGGCGTGACTTTTGGCGCACGAGTGGGACGCGGGAGCCGTTCGGGGTGAGGTTTTGGCCAAATGCAGGAGGAGGCTGAAGGACAGCATTGGGAACGCTGCCCGCGCGGTCATCGATGATCTTGGCGCCAGATGTTGTTCGATCGAAGAGCTCGCCCTGCAGACACAGCGGGACCGTAAAGCTCATGTTGCCTCCTGACGAGAAGCCCGATATGGCGAAGCGATCTGCATCTAGCATCAACTCCTCGGCGTGTTGCGCCAGCCAGAGTACCGCATCGGCACCGTCTTCGACAGCCGTGGGAAACGGGTTCTCAGGCGCGAGGCGATAATCGACGCTGACGACAACGGCTCCGACCTCGTCGACGACGACACCGCACCAGCGCGCATCGTCGTGTGCAGTGCCCAGTACGAAACCGCCTCCGTGGAAGTTGATGACAACAGGGTATTTCCTAGTACCCTTCAGCTTCTTATGCTTCTTGTATTCCTTGGGCACGTAGAAGTTGAGGCGGAATTTGCCTTTCAATGGCGAGACGGTGGCATCGATGTCCCTATGGAAGGCAGGCTTCGGGGGTCGTGGGCGGGCCAGGCGGTGGAGCATCATGCCGATGCCCATGAGGACGCGCCAAAACTGCGCCTGGACGTGGAGCATCCATCGCGGCCGGCTGCTCTTGGGTTGTGGTGGGTTGTCGACGGATACGGTCATGTTGACGGTTGACGGTTGACGGTTGACGGTTGGTGGAGAGGATTGAATCACCCTATACGGCGCGCGCCATTAACGAGGCCGCGGGTGGTGAAAGAGATGAAAGGGGGCTGTGCCTGTGGCAAGCCGAGTGCTTAGGGGTGATGCGTGGTGGTAGTGTCGCGATAGTGTGGGACTAGAATTGTCGCGACGGTGTTAGTTGGGACGTCGAGTCCTTGGTTGTGCGTTTAGTCGCAAGCGTTGGGAGTCTAGAAATGTGAGGCCCAGGGACGCGCAAGGGTCCCCGATAGGCGATGACGTAGGCTAATCAGCCGCACCCCATCTATGCCGCCCAATCCATGTGCTGTCGCGCTTTCACCCCAGTTGAGAAATGGCCGCGGAGCAGAGCGTGCATGGCGATGCCTCGGCGCCGATTTCAACAGACATTTGACGTTGTCGATGCGCCGATGTGGCCAGTCGCGGGTGGCTGGGTGTTCCGTGTTGCACCACAAGGCTGTTACACGACGACGGCAGACCTCTAGTCCTGCATAGAGTCGGGCATATCATCACTCAGAACTCACAATCACAATCAAAATCAAGTACCAACTGGTCAGTTTGAACGGCGTGAATTCACACCGCTCCTAGTGATAGATTATAGACGTAAAGACCATACTCCAGGGCATCACATATCCAATGGGTAGACAACCGTCCCACCCAGTACCCAAACGAAAAGAGAGCAAACCGGAACGGGTATAGTGGCTGCTCAAGTCCTCAGAAAAGCGCCGAACGCTCACCTATTGATGCTGCCATGGACAAAATGCAAGTGTAAACATCGATGGAAAGCCGACAGCGAAGTCGATATCAGATGTCAAAGAACGCCGGGGAAGTTGTGCATGCAAGTCAAGTGCACAAGAATCGATAAGGAATGAGGGCAGATCAAGAGGTCCATGGAAACCTTCACGCGTCGACAAACTCGTACTCGTCATCCTCGGGGGCGACATGGCGCTTTGGGCGCGGGGCCTCGTCGTACAAGTCGAGCACCTCATACTCGTTCTTCACCAGCTTCTCTGTCTCCTTGGTTTCAAACCTCTCCACAGCCTTGTCGAGTGCATGGTTTAGGATCTGGCTGCCATGGCTGGGACCGCGATGGGCATCGAATGAGTAGGCGACCTCGGCATCTGGGGCAGGAGCAGCGGAAGGATGGTCAACGTCCTCATCGGCGGACGACTCGTCACTAGCAGAAGCCATGTCCTTGTTGAAAGCGGTGCGAGCCTTCATGGGGCCGGGATACGATGCCCTGCATATGTTAGTACTCCGATAAGCAACCCGGGACCCGTGTGGGAGCCACTCACTTGATATGCGGGTACAGCTTAGCAGGGCGGGGCTTGCCGTCTTCCTGTCGCCGGCCAGGGCCAAACGACTGTCCGTTCGCCCACTTCGCCCTGCTGTTCTTGTCGCGGTTGAACTCCTTGGCGTCGCTGCGGAGGTCGCTGGTGAAGGTCTGCGAAGTCGACATGTCTGTGTTGCGACTTGGATCGACGGGTGTAGTTATAGTATGTATTGTGACTGGTTGGTATGGTTTGGCAAGAGTATAAACGGAGTATGTAGAGTGTTGTTGGGAGGTGCTGCGGCAGATGGCTAGTAGGTAGATTAGGTGTGACGGAGAAGGTAAACAATGGGATGTGACAGGTACGATAGCTGTGTCGAGGTAATAAGCACGGGTGAGAGGGAGGCGCGGCGGATGACTAGCAGCTGTCTTGTGAATGACTCTAAGAAGTGACTCAGGATGACGAGGTGCTGGGGCGACGAGAGTGGCTATGCAGGTACTTATGGAAGATTACGGCTCGTGTTCAGGCCAGGCAGTTGTTTACTCGCGCCGCCCTTATGTCGTCAAAGGCGTAGGCACCATCCCCGCCTTGTCTGGTTCCTGATAAGGGGACTGTCGACGGGTGGGAGCTCATGACCTAGGTTCCAGCTTCCGACTCGCCGAGGCCTGTTGCCCGCTTTAGCCCGATGCGCAGCCGGTTTGACGCTGTTGCCCATGATGCCATCATGGCGGTTTCAGACGCCTTTGGCGGCCAACGTGGGCGAGTTGGAGGCTGCTGTGTCCTGGTTGGTGTGCATGGATATGCGTGAAGCTCCCAGCCCTGGAGCTCTCAAGCTCGCAAGCGCCCCAAGCTGGTGCTCCATCTTCCGATCGCCGACCCCACATCGAGCCTCCACACCTCAGACAGCAACAGTCACGGCATGCATCCCAACAATCGCACCTTATTAGATGACGCCCTTTACCACGCTCCCTGATAAGAGCCCGGATTCGGCCGCCGCGTCTGTGCCCGGCTGCTAGTCTAGCCCATCATCTAACGCGGGTGCGCGGCTTGCTACGAACCAGCCAAGACATGTACCCCATACCATGGCATTGCAACGCCCTTCCGTCAATCAGCTATCTTGGAACATTAACGTGTCTAGAGTGGCATGGTTGACTAAGGCAGCCGTTCCAGGTGCATCCTCAGGCACTCGCTTCAAGTGTGGTACGCGGCCGCCTCTTCATCCTCCTCGTCGCTACTTTCAACTAAGCCAGCCTCGCTTGGGAGGACATCAGGGAACCAGCCATATGTACCGAGATCTACCGTGTACTGGCCTATGGCATCCTGTCTGACCTCCACTCCCTCTCTCCGCAGGGCATCCGCCTGCTGAGCAGCAGCGCTCGGGCCTCTTTGTTCCAGTCAGCAATCGAACAACAACCAACAAAGCCTTGTTATGGTGACAAGGAGCGCTGACCTCGGGCTGATACCGCCTTTGGCGTTGATCACGCGCTGCCAAGGCACGTTGCGGCTATGGAACGTAGGAATATTGCTGCTATCGGCCGATGGCGAAGGCAAGTTCTTGAGACAGACTCCGACTTGTCTTTGACGTCATGCGTTAGTGATGCTGCGACACGATGGTCATGGTGCTCCGCTGTAATACCTTGGACATTCGGCTATAATCAGACAAACACGTCAGCAAGTCGACCTCGTCATCAGGGAACACAACGCACGCTTCCCTACCAGCCTGGCAATATGACCATAGCTAGTGACCTTGCCAGAAGGCACCTCTTGAATCGCTTCGTATACTGCTGTGTACCATAGCCAGACTTCTTCTGAGCGCTCTCCTGGTGCCATGATGATCCGAGGTGGAGGGTGATTGAGTGCGGCTGCTTAAGCCGAGCGACAGTGAACGCGACAACACGAGAGCACGTGATGCGGAACGCATGCGCGCGCCAAGCCTTCAACTTTCCGTATCGAGCTTCGCGACTGGACTTTGCAGCATCACCCGCAACCAACGCCTCACCTCAACATGTCTGGTCTCGCCGACTATCTGGCTAAGAATTACCTCACGGCAGATTCAGAAAAGAAATCAAAGAAGCGCAAGAGGAAGAACAAGGACGCCGGACTTATCATCGACGACGATGACAATCTGGGCTGGAAGGATAAGGCCGACGAGGACGACGAGGATGCGCCCATGATAGGTATGCGAACTGCTATTTCCACAATTTGTGCAAGCTCGAGGCTAACAAATGACGCTTCAGTCGGCGGAGGCACTCTCAAGAAATCCAAGAAGAAATCCAAAGGCACCAGTGCCGCAACATGGACAGCCGTAGGCGTCGCCGCGCCCTCACACGCCGAACAACTTGCTGCCGACGCTGCCGCCGCAGATGCAATCATAGCAGGGACCGCCGCCGATCGCGAGAAGGCCGCTGAAGCGGAGGATGAAGCGCCGGAGATGGTAGACACAGACGGAGTCATGAGGATGGAGTCGGGCGCCAAAGCAGGTCTACAAAGCGCTGCCGAGGTCGCAGCAGCCATGAAGAAGAAACAAGACGAGGAGAAGCGCAAAGCTGAAGAGGCCGCAAAGGAAATGGGGAGCGCTGCGCAGGAGACCATCTACCGAGACGCCAGCGGTCGCATAATCAATGTCGCAATGAAGCGCGCAGAAGCACGGAAGAAAGCCGAAGAAGAGGAACGCAAGAAGCGCGAGAAGGAGAAGGCAGCGCGCGGAGACGTACAAAACGCAGATGCAGAGCGCAGGAAACAACAGCTACAGGACGCGAAGACGATGACGATCGCCCGATACGCAGACGATGCGGAGCTCAACGACGAGCTGAAGGAGCGAGGGCATTGGAACGACCCTGCGTCAGGCTTCTTGCGCAAGAAGAAGGCTGGACGCAGCATTACAGGCAAGCCTCTATACCAAGGACCGTTTCAACCCAACCGGTACAACATCCGCCCAGGAAATCGATGGGACGGTATCGATCGAGGAAACGGGTTCGAGAAACAGTGGTTCGATTCGAGGAATAGGAAAGCCAACATTGAGAAGCTGGAATATCAGTGGCAGATGGACGAGTAGAGTTCTGGGGTTGTCAACCCACTCTCATAAGAAGCTGGGATGTATATCATTTGCATAGCGAGGCGTTTGGGTATATGACACACAATATGACGGCCATAGGAGACTGGACAACTGCTACTATCGCAAATCTGTGTCCATCCTGTAAAAATACTTGGCTGACGAGATACCGAGGAAGGAGCGATACACACGACCCGATCCGGACAAGTTGGCAAAAAGAAGGTCAAAAACATACAACAGCGGGGATTCCCCGGTGGTCACCCACCCGAGTACTAATCTGCCGGTATCTTGCTTGTATATGGCTGAGCGGACGGGAAGCCTAATTCTCAAGATCCTATGGTCGTATGTGAAAGAATTCTGAACAAAAGTGACATATGACCGCGACATTGTCATGATCATCCATGGAAGCCACAGTAACATCTACGTGTATTCACTGGCTCTCCCTCCACAAGGACTCCTCATTCGCGTTTACCAAATGGAGATACAAGTATAAGCCACTCCAATTCACGGTCCATCTGTGACCACGGCAGGGAGCGTCAAGAGACTTTTGTCGTGTGATTTTCGCCCATGTTGTCCTTGATATACATTCCCACACTCGACTTAGATACGAAACCTTTGTTCTGCAAAGGCAAGTTGGGCACCGTTGCACATGGAGGGCTTTTACTAGACAGGCGCTTGCATACTCTGATCAAACTACAAGAGAATAATTTCTCATAGCTTTCCGAACTGGCATGGCATGTACTCATTCGATTTTCATAGTCTTGTCCTCCCGACGTAGCCTACATTCAATATGCGTTTAGTCTCCACCGTCGCCTGCACTGCTATTATGTCTACCATGTCCGGCCTCGCCCATCTCAGCGCGGTCCTCACTCGTTGTCCGACGGCGAGCAACGGTACTGACTGAGTGACCCGGCTTTGGATGTTCGTGGTGGTCAACCAGGGGGAAGTGCAGACCAGGCTTGCTTGCCAATGCATCCCTAATTTCGTCTACACTTTTCGCCGCCCATCCTGCACTTCCCAGAGTACTCAACGGGTAGAGAAGCTGATTGTCCGGGTGCATTACCAATTCCTCAATGCTCGGAGGCGATTTGCTCATGATGATATCGATGTCCTTCCTGATTTGTAGGCAGAATGCGTCCAGGGGCAAGTCGTTCACATCATTACCGAACGGGTTTTCGATTTCGCGGCCGATGAGCGCAATGCCTAGGATGATGTATGCCGCAAAGACGCTTGCTGGGATTGTAATGTACCCCAAGAGCTTGTACAGCTGAAATGGCAGGAGGAGGATATAAACCCAGGTGATCTGACTAATGGCGATGCTGTATGCTAAAGGTAGTGGGGTCGACAGAATGCGCTCAGTACCCGCGAGCACATCGTTGAAGGTGGTAAGTGCATTGAGAGATTGCGTCTGGTAGATGGAAACTTTGAAGGTTCCGTTGTCGTAGATCGACTTCATGTAGACGCTCAAATGGTTGAGAATCTCCAGAGGAAGGTTGCCAAGGGGGGCACGACTGCGTTTCAGCAGCTTGCGCGGGTTCGACTCAGCCATTGGCAGCCCAAGGAACTGTCCTGCTGTCTTGAAGATGCTCGGCTTCTTGTGCGCGTCTGGCTGGTCGGCGTCGCGCGCAAAGGTGTCTAGGTGACCGACCAGGTGCTTCAAGTCGTCGTAATGCATGTGAGGCTCAAATCGGAGCTTGTGCTTGAGTGCGACTGCGTACGCAGTGATCAAGTTGAGGCAGTTGATCTTGGCGAGTAGGTCTTGTTTGCCGAGCGTGGCGTCCTTCTCGTGACGTTCATCGACGTGTATCCAGATGAGGCGAGCAAGATTTTGGGACGCGAAAGTGAGTTGTGCCCAGTATTTGCGGCCATCGTTGTAGCGCTCGTAGGCGGTGGAACTTCTAAAGCTCAATGCGAGACCGACGACGAAACCAAGCACGGTAAGCAAAAGCTGGTTGACACTGACTGGAGGTGGTCAATACACGTTGGATAGAAACAGAATAAGAGTTTAGCGTACGGTCATGTACAAACTTCGAGATCAAAGTGATCATGCTCGACCAGCCGGCTACAAAGAGCAAGGGCAGCACCATTTCAGGTGTTACACTGCCATGAACGCGGAGAAATACAGGCCACTGCAGA